CAACCAAAAGTATTCGCAATCAATCACATTCAGAAGTCTCAAAAGTATCAGATTTTCTGGTGCTATCTTAGTTGGGGGGGGGGGGGGCACGCGGCGGCGCGGCGCTCTGTTCGCCTCCTCCTGCAAGGCTTAGTCCTCGATGGCGCCTATTTCGAAACTGTCATGTGATGGCGAAATAGTAACTGCGGCTCTATACAAGTGGGATGGGCACGTCCAGCTTTTCACGCATGTCAGAGCAGAGGTTGAAAATCGTGTCGAGTACGTGGTCGCAGAAGTACGACCCCCCCCCGAAATGAGATCCTGGTACGACCCCCTATAACAGAGCAAATTAATTCAATTAATTAATCAAAATAAATCCTGCAGAACAAATCAAAAAAAATCCTGCAAAATAATGTTATGGACGCCTCATCTTGTCATCTATGCACTGTCTTTCATCGCTGCACTTTTGTGTATTTACTGAAATATCGACTCGAGGAAAGAGGCATTAACTTTGTGTGACCTCAAAGTCAGGTTCGTTCAGAAATGCACAGAAATCCTGAAGGCACGGGGTTGCGATTTAATCTTAATTCCTGCTTGAGTATATCGAAACAGCCGAGTGTATCAATCAACGGCCGATTCAACGGCAGCTGCGGCGCGATTGTCACTGGGTCAGATTTGCTGAAATCCCGAAAAAAACCGTCGAAATCTACACCCTCGATGAAAAGGTTGCATTCCTCCATTTCATAACCTTTGAAGCAGTTTGAGGTAGGGTTAGATAGAGCTGGATTTCGCGTTTCCAAGAAGTATTGAAATTGCTCTGAAAGCCTTCCATGCAGAAAGATAGGGTCTCTCAAATTTCGTCGAGTAAATGTCGAGGACGCTGAAATTTTCACGCGAGTTTTTGCCACTTCAAGAGCAATATCTCTCTAATGTCGTAAGGTCCTGAAAAAGGGAAGATAGTTTTGGAAAGCGGAAGGTTTGCGCTTCTTAACCGTCTGTTTCGCTTTTTTCTAGAGCTTCTGGTTGGAGAGATAATTGCGTCGAGGATCTATCGAGGTCGGATCCGGCCACCTGGAAATCCGCTCCCTCATTCACCATTGCAAGTGTGACTCGTTGGCAACACTCGGAATGTGTCTAGAACAATATCTTTGAACGCAAACAATAAGAATAGGAGCAATCGTCATCATCCGATTTGGTATTGGTATAAGCCATGCATCCCTCCTCCACTCACAGTTGCAGAATCGATTGAAAGGTGTTATATGATGGGGACCTTCGAACGAAACTGTATTGTAGTAGACATAGTGTGTTGTGCTATTCCTGTAACCTAAAAAACAACTTCATTTGCCCAGCGCTTTTTCTTCACGGTTGTCGTTTTTCCGACAGGGTCCCTAACAACAGCGTCATTCTCAGCGAGGTATTAAGGGAGAAGGAGCGAGTGATAGGCGGAGGAGGTGCCTTTGCAGCGCGTGCGCACATGTGGCAGTCTTCTTTGCGGGGATGCACTTTCATTCTTTGTACTGCCTTCAAATACGCCCTTCTCATGAAGGTGGAGGAATGGAGCGACTGAACCTGCAAAGAAATTTAATATCATGTTTTTTTCGGATGTTTTCATTTTCTGCTGCGCTATACCCTATTACCTATCTGCACCATGATACCACTTCTGTTACTGACCCCCAAGAGTACGACCCCCCATGGACCAGCCCAACAGGTACGACCCCCCTGTCGAGGATTTCCTCGACCGATATTCACCCTGCTCCCAATGCGGAAGGCACAGGATTAAGAACCCACTGCTTGGCGGGCGCTGTGCTCTTAATAATTGGGAAACTTGTTCGCGGGAAATGGCGACCTTAAACACAATCTAATGAGGTTTCGGCGTTTTTCTTGGCGTTTTTTTGTCATGGGCGAGCAACATGCCCCGCCCCTGCAATGGTGTACGTGTTGCCGAGAGTTTTTGGTTAAGTATACACAATTATGTGGTTACCTAGCCAACAGGACGTAATTTGAGACTACCTGACACGTGGCAAGGGTCTTCAGGAAAGTAACGACGTGGTGTTTCCGCTTTCTGTCTCTCTTTGATGCCGGCAGAAGTGATTGTATAAGCCCAAAACAGGGCATGCCCGATAAAAAAAAGTATAAATCGATTTTACATGATGCAGTGCGAAATGGAGCAGTGTAAACACTTTCTCAGTAGATCCCTTGTTCAATGTTTCCATCTCCCACTCTACTCTTGACAAGGACATTAGGATATGTGAGTGGGCAGCGTTATATGTATCTCGATTAAAATGCGGCGAAGGAAGGGTGTTAGTATTACAGAGGTGTACGGACTAGTGAGCGGAAGTAGTGGAGTATGAAGGTCAGGGAGAAGTAGTAGATTAGGACAGTGCGCTGATAAGATTCGATACGTATTGATCGATTCGCGTGAAGGCGTCTGAGGCTGCGTTCATAGTTCCCACTCCGGAGATGAGGATAGTACGCGACAATGAAAAACATACATACTTGTCGGCGAGATTAGTTTTAGTAGCGAGCGGTGAGGGCGGGGGGGGGCTAGGAGCTTGCTGACATATTTAGCGAAGGAAGAGACTAAGCGGATAGAGCTTTTTGCCGGTGTGATAATCCCGTCTTTGGGATGCGAGTTGCTATTTCAATTTGCTACATTACGGGAATGGGCGTTTGGGAATGGCGATGATGCTATGACAAGGGGGAATTGCGGCGCGCCAGTCCAGAGTGGGTGTTTGTTTTTTGTTATTACGTTTTTTATCCTCCCAGACAAGTCTGGTACCAATTAACCGACCCCGGAGGGATGGAAGGCTTGGTTGGCCCGGGCGACTCACGACCCAGGATTTGATCCCCGGACCGCTCGCGTGGTGAGCGCGCCACTTGCCACTACACCACTTCCGCCCCTATAATAATTATAGGCTCTTATCTGATCGCCTGTCAGATTAGATACGTACTCGATTGAAATCGCCGGAGGACAGTAGAAACTTGCACTTTACGAAGTAGGTAGTAGGCTGGTAGGTAGGAGAGTTATGAGAGATTACGATGCGCGTGCTGGACAAGATTAGGATAGGATCAACTGATCTATTCGCTGGAAGTCGACCCAATTCTGAGATACTCCGCAGCGATTATTATCGAGATAGTATCAATATGCAGCGCAAATCCTCCGCTACTCTATGAGCTAATGCGCTATATCTGATCGCTCTTATAAATCTGCGCGAGTCGCGCGACTAGGGAACGCGCATATCTGCTCTTTTCCAGCGATTCTTTGATTGGAGACGTATCTAACCTTTTAATATCCCAGTCTACTATTATCCAATTTATCGGCCTATATCCTAATCTCCAAGTCAGAACAATGATGAACCACGACTGAGGGCTGCTGGCGAGCGGTTTACCCATAAGCACCTTTGCTTGCTGTGGCTCGATGAAAGGGGACGAGGAGGTCTACATGAAATTTGACCGAGGAAATTGTTAATGGGATTTCCGAACATGCCAGGCGAGCAGACTGCCGCGCCGCCACATGGCCCCCCCCCCTCCCCCAACTAAGTTAGCACCAAGAAATCTTTCTCTGTTTTTCTAATGAGTACTATTCTATTAGAACAGCACCTTCAAAGTGAGTACACAAATGACAAAAGCAACTCAGCTAACCTCTGCTCCCTCTCTGCAGTGATTTGGGTTTAAATCAAAACGATTGTACCATCGTGTTTCGGTAAAACTCCACTTCTGCAAAATAAATCCTCGAATGTGTGCGCTTAGAATCCCATTGTTAAATCAGTGGCTAACGAATAAGACCCATCCTGTAGACTGAAGCTTCTGGTGTAAATTTTACTTGTAGTTGTGTCCAAACTTTACTATTACCAAGCGCGCAATGACATCTCTGTCCAACAATCGCTCGTTACGACGAATAAGCTCGAACGTCTCTCGGTTTAGTAAACGACAGCTGTCAAGATCTCTTGGCCGAAGATTGTACAGAATCTTTACTCGCAACTCCTGTGGTAGTCGATCCCAGGGAAAATGGTCCTGAAATAGCGAGCTACAGGTTCAAGTAAGGAAGGCAAACCGATGAAATTAGTAACTCAAGTACAATGTTGAAATGGGCACCTATCTTCAATTTGGGCCATGGTGAAAAGTGAATCGTTCCTGCAAAACAAAAACCAACCTTCTCTCGAGTGGAAGATTGCATAGGACTCAGGTCACTCTCCATACGAGAAGACTTGTTGGAACCAGCATCTGAAATTAGATCCCATCGCCTACAACTCCCTTTATCGGAGTTCGACTCCAACTTCCAACTCGGGGTAGCGCAAATGCAATATCGAGAGGCAGGTAGAGATACCAGCAAAGAACCGTCTCTTCAAAAAAAAGTGGCGATAAGATGTTGTTTTGAAAAAAAGAGGCTTCAACGACTCGCTCAGGGGGCTGGGGAAAGGGAGCGCTGCAAGGTAAATGAAGTATATTACTCTTTGGTAACGGTTATCGGACGTGATTTCATGACTAAAGAGTGGGCGGACCTATGACCTACGCAATCGCAAACCGTTTCTTAAAGAGGTAACGTTCAAGCGCCATCGCCATGCGCTTGAACCTTACCTCTTAGGCTATAAGCAGTTTAGCTCCGCACGCAACCGCGCGCATCACATGGGGCCGGATTCAATCCTACCCCAAGGGGTTGGGGACGAAAATTCCTTTAAATTTTCTCTGTCTTCCCAACTGGGATTGCCCTGATAAAGGGCCTACATTTAATGTATGTATGTAGGTTAAAGTAAACATGCACTGAAAATGAAGAAACTATCGAAAAAAACTCGTCCCCCAACCCGGCTCATGGATCTTCCGAAACATCTTATTGTTAGGCTGCTTTCATGCTTTGCACCGGTTTGGGCTTTCGTGCGTCGTCGCATGACGCGTACTTGGCGTGCAATCGGTAGCTTCCGATCGCTCGTCAGACGGCGTACACGACTGTCGCTACTTTTATCAGTACAGTTGCCGCTCATACCCACTTCCTGTCACCTACATCAACACCTCGCCACCTTGATCGTTTGCCAGTGATAACTGCAACGAAGTTGGAGACATTAGATTGCATTCAGACGCTCCTATCATTCCTTAACCTCTGTTATCAGTTCGTACGCTCACTATCGTTGCCCCCGTCCTATCCCCCACGCAAAGTATAGCTGTCAGGGTCTTGCTGTAACAACGAAGGTTATAGGAAAATTAGTGTACTCAATATCTCAACTTCCTCATGAACGGTTATAAGTTGATACCACCTTTGTTCACCCGCTATCCGTGTTCCCGTCCCATCCCCTATACCACATGTGAGAGCCAAGGTTCCAATGTCACCGCGAAGGCCGCAACGAAACTGGTGGTATCCACACTTTGACGCCCCTTATCAGTTTTTATCAGTTGCTACCACATTCTTCACTCACCTTCTTGGTCCCCGCCTCACCCCATACACTTACATGAGTACAAACATGTTACTGTCAATGCGAACTGCAATTAGACTATCAAGCAAGCAGGTTAATAGGCTACTAAGCTAGTGAGCTGTTGGGATATTGGGCTAGCAGGCTAGCAGGGGAGAAGAACGAGAAGAAAAGGACACGGCGTTGAGACAGGTGGGGGAAGGGGGGAAGGCAGCAGTCGATGCGTCAAGCTTGTAGGTAGGGTGCGGTTCGCTAGGACGGAAAGCGTTTTTCCGCTTTTCGCAGCACATAACTTTTTGCGCTGCAGAACTCCAGGTCACCATTGGGCAGAACCTGACCTGGAGTTCTTTGCAGTAAAAGTTTTGGGCTGTGAAAAGCGGAAATGTCGCTTCCGTCCCAGCGAACCACACCCCCGTAGGCATTCCATTTCACATAGCGATATGGACTAAACCGACACAAAAACATAAACCGAGTTAGCTAGCCGTTTTGACCACAACCTCCGTCATCGAGGTGCGAACTGGGTTGAAACAAAGATGAAGAGAAACGCACCAGTCACATCCGAAAGATTTTCACTCTCTCCCGTTGTTCTTTTCCTTCCTTTGTTTGCTTGATTTTCGGCTGGAGCAGGCCTTTTCGCCATTTGATGACGAGACAAGAATAAATAGCACAAACGAACTGTAACAAAAAAAGGTATCCGCACTGGTGTGGTTCACTGTGGAGAGAGAGCGAATTTTTTGCATGCGGGAACATCAGGCGTCAACATCAGGCG